CTCGCTCTCTCTCTCTGTCTCTCTCTGTCTGTCTCTCTGTCTCTCTCTCTCTCTCTGTCGCTCTCTCTCCGGCTAAAACCCGTATAGATATCTTGTAAAGCCCTTCAAGCTTAAAAGCCTGAACACCTCAAACCCCAAACCGTAAAAATTGACAAACCTTAAACTCAAAGCCGGGGTGGCATCCACAGCCACAGGAGCTGCAGGTGCTCGGTCTCCTCAAAGCCGGATCCTCATCATCAGGTCTACGTACATATATATGTATATATATATATACATACATATATATATATGTACATGTGTTTGTTTATTTATTTACATAAATGCGTGTATATATACATACATATATATGTATATATATGTATAAGTATGTATTTACACACACACACTTATGTACGGATAAGGAATATATACTGCATGTATACGTACATCTCTGCAAATACGTATGTATGTATGTATGTATGTATGCAAGTAAACAAGTAGGTAGGTAAGTAGGTAAGCACGTATGTAATAAGTATGTGTGTATGTGTTTACATGTGTGTGTATATGTACATTGCACGTAAGTTTGCAAGTATGCAAGGCAGGTATGTACGCATGCATGTATGTATGTACGTACGTATGTATGTACTTATGTATGTGTGTAGGCTTGCGACTATCACAATCTTTTCTTCTGCTCGTACTATCAGTGCATGTCAGCATTTTTGCTACTGTCATTAATTCGTATTACTTTTGACAGGATCCTTGCGATAGTCATTTCAGGCTTTCAGTCATGCATGTGATCGCATCAGTCTTGTCATTGTTGAATGCATCTCGTGATTGCTACATTTTTGTGTACAGGACGCACTTCATATTAGTCTTTTTTGCGATACAAAACTTCCGAGGATTTCAGCCCTCAAGGCCTCGGCAGGTTCAAGAGTGAATTTTTTGGATCGGGTTCAGCGGTTCACCCGGTTCCCTTCCATTGCTGATCCTGAAGGCACAGGCCCTGATGGGTAATCAGCTGAGCTGGCACGCCATTGAGACGGCCTTGGCACGCGCTGTGTCTATGGAGATTATCAGCGAGGCTCCGGATGGGGACCGAATCGGTTTCGCCAAAAGCAAAACACAACAGAATGCACAAAAAAGTGGTAGCAACCATCATGGTAACTCTTTGCCAAGCTGCTTCGAGGAGTCATGGCGGCTATACCAGCAAGAGGGCCCAAGAGGCAGCAATAGTCAGACGTCTGATCGCCAGAGTCGCCACGAAGGCAGCAATGGTAAGAATGCCAACAGCAAAGCAGCTGGTGCTAACGAAGGTGCTTCCTTTTCAAGCTGATGACTTTCTGTTTATAGGTTGTCAGATATGAAGGACGACGATGATAAAATTGCGACAGATGGCAGCAACGAATTCAAAAAATTGCAGGGCTGTTTTAGTGATGAAGGGTACCACAAATGCAAAGCCGACACGATAACGGATTTGCCAAAGGTGCAATTACGTGTCCCAGTGAAGTTCTTGAACGTCGATATTTTGGATGGCTGTGATGATAGCAGATTCTAATTAGCGCCACGATACTGATTAATTACGATGCTCACTCTAGCAGTGTTCGGAAGAGTTGGTCGGTTGTATGGATGAGAATGTGGTAAGTGTTTTCAGTCATGTTTATGACGAGCCGGGACAACACCAAGACTGCAGACAGCAATAGCAGTGACAACGGGCTGGTGGCGAGAATGGTCGAAGTCATCAGAGTCTACCATGGCGTGCATTGGGCATCGTGGACAGTGTTCAGCGCAGCAGCCACCATCATCAGCATCAGCATCGCCATGGTTGTACATCTCTCGTTTTCCTTCTTCTTATTACTGCTACTGTTGCCATCATCGTGATCGTCCGAGTCGTCTTCGGCGGCATCTCCATCTGCAGCATCATTATCACAGTCAAATCATCATCGTCGTCATCGCCACGGTCATAACCGTAATCATAGTTATGGTCAGAAGATTCACCATTGTCTTTGTCGTCGTCCTCACCGTCATCCTAATCCTCAGCATCGTCATGCCATCATCACCGCCGTCATCGTCATCGTCATAGTCGTGCTCAAGTTGGTGATGCTGCACCGCCTTCAGGAGGACCTTGATGTCTTCAGCAAAGATATGCTCATCAAGGCCGCGGCGGAGGTGAAAGAAAGCCGGCACTTTTCAGAGCTCAAGGACCGCAAGGGGACGAAGTTTTTAGGCCTGGCGAGGTCGAAGCAAGATGCTTCCAGGAGTCGCTTGCATCGGTTCTTAAGGGAACCGACGCAAAAATGCTCGGGACAGGGAACAAAAATCCTTTGGTTTTGTGGTGGCTTCCAGACTTCCTTCGTTTCCAGATCCTCTAGAAGCTTCCCTGAATGCCACAGCAGCAGTCCGAGGGAGACCCCTTCCCTTAAACCCTCAAGCCCTAAAGCCTAAACCTTAGTTTGCTAGGGAACCTAGCACCTGCCTGCCCCTTGGGGCTCTCCGCGGATACTTGCTGTGGAAAAAGGCACTCAAAAAAAGCCTCAAACCCTAAACCCTAAACCCTTAAGCCCTAAACCACCCTCAGGACCTGCATATCGTTCTGGAAGATGCAGCTCGGGAGTACCTGGAGCTTCAGGCCCCTGCTTGCTGGCCATCGGCTTGGGTCCAGAACCTCGGTATTTGTCTATACCGACTGTACATGTAGTATGGTGTGGGTTTGCATATGTATGTAGATATGTATGTATGTCTGTCTGTATGTATGTATGCATGCATGCATGTATGTGTTGGAGCCAGGTCAAGCTTTCGCCGCTTGAAGTCCTGACTGCGCTCTCGTCGTTGGAAATCCTCAAGGCTTGTTGCCATGAGTTCCGTCAGAATGCCATGAGTTGTCCCGAGTGGGCCGTTCTTCGTGATTCTGTCAGGTCTCTGAGGAGGTGGTTCAGCAGCTGAAAGCTGAGATGAGCGACAAAAGCACATCTTGATCGACTGCAGGTCCATGTACCTTTGTACATGACCAAAGCAGCTTTGCCCATGGGGGTAGTTTTAAGATATGCCTTGGTTTAGGGTTAAGGGTTCGGGGTAAGGCTGCAAACTGCCGAGCATCAGGACCATGAGTAGCTACCTTGGCCCATTAGTCTCCACCTGTCTGAACGGTGGAGCGGTAACATACTGCCATCCGGCACCAAGTGCCCGTGATGTATCTGAGCGACCCCGGCGCAGCAGGCATCCTTCTTCTGTTGGAGAGAAACTATGATGTCACTAGATATTGTTTTTATGACTAATATTAGGAAGCTTCACGCCCTAACTTTTTGATGCACTGCAGCCAGCCGCGAACGGAGCCGATGCTGCGAGTGTTTAAGATTCTCGCAGTTTCCCCAAAAACATATTCGGCAAGTGCCCATGTCTCCCCCGCCTCAGATCTTTTCAAGCGCATGACGGGGTGGTAGTCATGGGAACTCCCCCTTGCATGTGCAGATTCGCCTCCGGCTGCCCGGTTGGCTGCCCGGGGGGAACGCCAGCAGAGCCTCAAAATCTTGATTTTAGGGTTTATAGGGTTTGGGGGTGGAGCGCAGAGCTGCCGCAAACTTGCTGAACCGACTGGTCCTCGCCGCCAGTTGAGCTGTGGGCATGATTTCTTCACCTGGCACTTCGAGGCAGAACTCGCGTTTTAGCGTGCTTTTTCAGGGTCGGAGTTGGAGAGAAACCTTCAAGATGTGTCTTATCAGGGCTCCTTGAAGATCGAGTCCGAGGATTCCTCGGATCAGTTGGCCTGGCGCTTACGGCTTCCCTAGAAGCCTGCGGAAATTAGCTGGCCATCCAAAGACTCTCTGAGGTGGTCGCCTTCTCCGAGGAGAACCCTGGCCTCTTGGACGCCCACCCAAAAGAGGCTGCCCTTTCTGACGAGGCTCGACAGACGGCGCAGGCCTGGGCCTGAGATGTCAGCCCACCAAGCCGTCACAGAACTATGTCTGCCAAGTGAAATCAAGGTGCGAAGCAAGTGTCAAGCTTTCACACAGTTTTTCTCCACATGCTCACATAACGCAGCTCAGTGTTGCGTGCCGAATCGGGTATCTTGGGCGCAAGGAGTCTTGCTTTCTTCAAACCGGACAGGTCAACCTTGTCGCCCTCTTGAGTTGGCAGCAGGGCGAAAGGTGCCTCGGCTGACGTAACACCCCCGAAGCCCTTGATTTCGATCCCGAACCCCCTAAACGCAAGCCCTATGGAGCCGACTAAAGCCCAAAAAAGGCCCCTGAAAGAGGCCCAAACTTGCGGGACTTCCGGGGCCCCGAGGGCCTCGGATGCCAGGCCCGGACACCAGATGGCGGTCGTACGCTCGGGCTCCGGCTCGGGTGGCGGTGATCTGGGAGGGAGCCGTGAGCTGAGAAAAGCTGAGGAGCCCCTTTTAGAGTTTTGATGGGGTTTTCATAGGGCTTAAGGTTTATATGTTTTTTTTGGGAGGGTTTCCTCTTTGGAAACTTGGAGGACTCGGCCTTGGAGATTTTGTTTGGAGAATTCTTGAAGACGGCTTCTCATCCTTTCAAGCTGGCTGCTAAGCGTTCCCTCTGCACCCAAGGCTGGAACTTGGAGGGTACGAAGATCGAGCTTTGCTACGCAGCCAGCTGAGGTGCTGTCGGAGCCGGGGCCCAGGGAGCCGTCGCTTTTCAGATCGTTTTAGCCATTTCTAATGGAGACCGACGGGGAAGAATCTGTCTCCTTGTACAAATATGCACAGTCGGAGTTTTCAGAATTTCTGTTGCTCGGCAGTGCCCGGCGCGGGTTCCCATGATCCGTGTGCCTGCCGGGCCGCCCGCGCTGCTGTGTGCAGTGCGTTTGTAGCAGCCTGAGCCGGGGCAGCTCAAGAGGCTTTTACCTTCGTGAGCAGATCGAACACCTCAGCTTTCCTATCGTTTCCCTCCCCCACCAACTGCGTGCCATGTCTTCGCTGTGACCGTGGTCAGCCCGGATTCGTTGCCGGAAGCTGGCTTCACCATGCCGGACCAAGTAAGCCTTGATGCAGTCTTGCAGCAGGCATAAAACACTGGCAGCTGTGCAAAAATCACGGCCTAGGGAACCAGAAGCCCCCAACCCCAGCAAAACAAAAGGTGGAAATATGAAGCCACCATAAGCTGAAGTTAGGAAACGAAGTGGTACCCTGCCCCCCAACAAACTCATATGCTGCGATGGCTGGGCCCGAAGCCCCTGGCAACGAGGACCTGCTCTGGACTCTTAATGCACGGCTGGTTATTATTTTTACTGTACTATACTGTACTACTAATCATGACTATTGTTGTTATGATTGCTATTAGTGTTATAATTACTATTAACTACTATAATTAAATTATAACTATTACTATGATTCCTATTGCTGTTATTGTTATTGTTGTTACTGTTGTTTTTATTCTCACGGTTGTTGCGATGACAGCAGTATTGCTGCTATTCGTATCATTATTTTCTGTCGGGGGACTGCGCAGGAGGCTCTCGCGGCCAAGCAGCGTGGTGGAGCAGCCTATGCTCAGAAGGACCTTCTGGCATTCGAAGACATGGCTTTCGGGTTGGGAGTTTGGGGCTTAGGGTTTAGGGCTTTGGGTTTAGGGTTCAGGTCTTAGGGCGTAGGGTTTGCGGTTCAGGGCTTAGGGTTTATATGGGGTTAGTATAGGGGTTGGGGATACATTGCATGTCATTGCGTTGCATCGTGGGCTCTGCTGGCATGGCGCCTCGCAGGACTGGACAGCAGCTATCGAGCACTACACTGCTGCGCTGGAGTTGCTTTCTTGGTGCAAGCGACCTTCCTGTGGGTTTAGGGTTTAGGGCCGCCAAGGGACGGGTGCAACAATCAGGACCCATCGCATGTCCGCAGCTGTTTTGGCTTCCGCATTACCAGCCCAACAGACACACTAAGCAGGCATTTGTAGACTTTCGGGTTCTTTGCTTTTTGGGCCTACTTGGCTTGCACAGTCACATGCCATTATGCCGTATTCCTAAGTCGTGATCTCCGACCTATGCACCTCTTCCAGCAGAGCCTGCATATTATATTATAGTATAATATAGTATAGTATATTATAGTACAGTATATTACAGTATAGTATATTGTATTATAATGATTCTCGCTAACTCTGCTGATTCTTAGGGTCGAGCTCTGGAAGAATCGCCGCCTTATCTGTGTCTCGGCTCCTTATTGGACGTGCAGGTGCTTGAGACACTGCCCTTCCCAAAGCAAAACTCTGTGTTCTGCTTTCCGAGATTCGCCAGATGTTTGCATGGCTTTGCCGCTGCCGAAGGCAGGACTACTAGACTGACAATGAGGGTTGTGTACTCATCCAGTGCATCAGCCCACCGCCTATAGCCTCAACAGTAGCCTCAACCAGCTCAGCCACCGGACAGGAGAGATCTGGACATTGAGCTTGATGTTCCATCTCCCATACCGACATCTCCGACTCTTCCTATCGCCACAGTGGCTAGGACAATGAGTGCCTGTGATTTCCATGTCTGCTAGCATTCCCAAAGACGGAAAACCTTTGCCAGCTTGATACCGATGTTTGCAAAGCAATGCGATTATCTGTGCTTGATTGTATTGTAGCTCTCCTTGAACTTTAAGCGCTACGGCCCCATTCTTGCCTCAAACCTCAGCTTTGGTATTACCCGCCGCAGCTGCGTCGTTGCCTGCAGGAAGAGTTGATGTTCTGATCATTCTACTTCTAGCAAGCTTTAATGGGTTTGATAAGTTTAAGCTCCGGGGCTTCTTGCAGGGATTGGTTTTTTGGGGTGAGCGTTTCCTGGCTATCGAGGCGTTGGACTAGCTCTGAAAGCCCAGCCATTCCCCAGCCCGACAAACTGCACCAGAATGCCAAAGCCCTCAAATCCCCAAAGCGCCAACGCCCCAAACCCAAAACCAAAACTAAAACCTAATCTCTAAACCCTAAACCCCTTAAACCCCTAAGCCCCTAAACCCCTCAACCCTAAAGCGTATAACGTCCCAAAACCCAGGCTGGGACGGTGTTGGCGGAGCCCAGCTCCGAACCTCCGACTCTCGTCAGCCGCCGAAGGAACCCAAGGCGCTCCGGTCGGGCTCCGTTTTGGCCATCCAAGGCTATTCGGGTTTAGGGTTCAGGGTTTTAGGGTGTAGGGTATAAGGGTTTAGGGTTTAGGGTATAAGGGTTTAGGGTTTGGGGGTTTAGGATGGTTTAGGGTTAGGGTTTACGGTATCAGGGTTTAGGGTCTACGGTTTACGGTACAAGGGTTTAGGATGGTTGAGGGTTTAGAGTCTACGTTTAGGGCCTGAGAATACTAGATAGCAGAACGCTATACTCGGTAAGTTGCCGCCTAAGATGGCTCACGAGCTATCCTTGCTAAAGCGTTTTTCCATCTCTGGCTGGCTTTTTTGTTTTGACATGCTGCCCTAGACCCTAAACCCTAAACCCTAAACCCCTATAAACCCCTAAACCCCTAAACCCTAAACCCTAAACAGCTCTGCCTCCCAAGTAGATTTGCCGAGCAACCTGCAGCAGAAGGCGAACCAGGGTCTTCGTGCGGATGCCATCGGGCGAGATTCTGCCTGCAGATGTGGATCTTAACTGGACCATCGCGCAAGCATCCGACTACATCATTGCGGCTTGGTCGAACCTGCTGGGTTGATAGCCGTGTTTGATAGCACGTTCAGCAGCGGAAGGCAGTGACCAAAGTCTAAAGCTTCTAAAGCCACCGACCAGCCAAGATGTGACCTTGCTAGCAGGCGCTGGTTGTGAAGAGTTTCCGAACCAGCGAACAGGAATCAATGTCGAAAGGAACTCCTCGCCAGAAATCCGGGAATCTGCCCGTTACATGACGCACCGATATGCTGATGCAGCTCGAAGTTTGCCCGAGGCGAACTGCAGCAATGAGTGGTTGGAAGGCTTGGGTGGAACCGGTGATGGTTACAGCCTTCGCGCCTCTGCAGACAGCCGATCTCTTCATATTCAGTTCTCTGCTTGCGTCGTTAGGCGAGCACAGATGTAAACAGCCTAAGGATTCAAGCGGAAGATCCTGCGGAAGCAAACAACCTTAAAAGATGCTTGGCTGCATTGGGACTGCACAGGACAGCGACAGAATGCACGCCCCTCTTCTAAAGGCCCCGCTCTCGAGCTTACTACTCGGGGGTCTAGCCGGTTACATGCATGCTTTCCCAGCTCAGGAGAATGGTGCCGAGATTGGCAGTGTTCTGGGGTTTGTGCCCTCAGATGACGAGCCAAGCCAGGACCTGGGTCCAAGGGTTTCCAAGCCCGACATCATGACCGGCACAATAATATGAATATCTGTGCATAAATGTGTACATGCATGCATACCCCTTTTTTCTTGATTTAGCCATGTTTTAGGCTGCCCGAAACCCGATTCTAACCACAATGTATGTCCCGAAATAAAGCTAGACCCCTTACACCAGCCTGAAGCGCCGAGAAGCCTCAGCCCGGAGCTCTACAGGAGATGTCGTCCCCGTATTCCAAGAATGAGCTCTCAGAGCAAGAGCTGCAATGATTGCAGCTTTTTGAGGTGCGGAGCTTCCCGGCCCGGACTTCGATCAGTATTGAATCGCAGACTATCCATCTTACCAATCTAGGGGCCATATAGGTAGAATTCGAATAGGGTTTGGCGGGACTAGGAGAAGTTTCCTCATCACTGCAGAAGAACAGGGCATTAAATACAAGATCTTTGGCTTAGATGTTCGTCGGTTGACTAAGGATGCGCTGCTTGCTTGGCTCATGAGGCCACGACCATTTTCCCAGCTGCTTCGCAGCAGCTGTCGCCTTCAGTGCGAATCATAGGATTAGGATGTCTAATCGAGTCTAGGAGGGTACTGTTGATGGTACAAATCCTGCATTACCTTAAGGACCCTAAACTATGGGAATAATGGTACATTCCTTATTGTGGGGAATGCAGGATTTATATCATCAGCCGTATGTCGATTTCGCGTTTGAGTGCGCTCTGGAGCTCTCCAGCAATCGTGCACCCTTCGCAGTCGGCTTGCACTGCCAGGTACTCGTATCCCGTTGTCAGAGAGTGTAGAACACACAAGTATATGTGTTCCATTGTGACACGCTCACACGATGTAGTTGCCTGGCGCCCCGCCTCTGCTGTTGCAGAGGACCGCAAATTTTGGAAATTCGAGTTGCTCCGTTCTAGACAGAGCTGCTTCCATCCTAACGGCGGAAGCCGTGTCACCACGACGGCAAGACACGCTGAAGGCATGCACCTGCCATCACCTGCTGGTACTGACAGGCGCGCTCTCTGTGGGAAAGCGAGGGCGTGCCGTGTCTCAGGTTTTGACACGATGGAGACCAAGACCGGTCCATGTACAGTGGGCTTTTCCACATCATGTCAACGGTTTCGCTTTCAAGTATCAAGAGTGATCGGGGCTTCGTCTGCCGGCGCCCCTCCGGTCTCTCAGGAATCCTAGAGTCCCCACTGATGGCCAAGCGATAACTGGGCTAAAAGCCGGTGTTTTGTGTGGCACCTTTGCTTCCTTGTCGCAGTTTTTCCGAACCTACCCCGCGGGCTTGCTTTCCCCATTGCTTGCCAGTGGTAAGGTCTTGTCCTGTCGACTCCGAGTTGGCCCTCATCTGCGTGAACCTCAGAGCTGCCCTCGAGGCCGCCACTTGCCGAGCCGAGGCTCTGCTATAATGTGCTAGTAGTGATGTACAATTATAATGTACTGTTACAATGTACTATGATGTACTACAGTGCTGGCTCTCATCTTTCGTGCTCCGAATGCTCCGAGGCCTGAACAACCGTGCTGCATGCTACGCCCAGTTGAAGCGGCGCTTGGCTGAGTTGCTAAGGTTATTAGTATTATTACTATTACTATTGTTATTACTATAAGTTTTTTATTCTTACCATTATCATGATTATTATTGTTATTATTATGATTGTTACTACTACTATGATTATATGAGTATATTCCATGGTATTATTTTCTGAGTACTGTTTCTGCTACGTGTTATTAAAGTCCGAGGCATGAGCTGGTTGTGCAAGACACCTCGGAGGTGGGGTGCAGCGTCTGGTGGCAGAAGCCTCACCAGGAGTAAACCCTCAACCCCTAAACCCCTAAATCCTAAACCCTAAAGCCTAAACCTCTTGCTGGAGTTGTGCCGTAGGTGCTGCAGAAGCAGCCTGCCAACATGAAGGCGCCATCGTAGGATTTCAGAGCGGTTTGAATCTGAGACACGCGCAAACGTAGATTCCTTCCTGTCCTTTCAATTCGCGACGAAAGCTAGCAGGCTGTGATGAACCGTTATCCGAGAAGGTCGTGGGGTCGTTTCCAGTCTAGTTCTTACAGCAAGCTCATCACCTACTGACCAACCTTGTACGAATAAAGCCGACGATCACTGAAGTCTCGGAAGCACTATGCTGAAACCCTAAGCACACAGCCCCAAGCTCTTGCTTAAACCCTAAAACCCTCAAGCCCCATGAAGCTCTAAACTAAACCCTGCGAGAGCTGTCTTTCCAGGAGCGCACAATAATAGCAATAATAGTAGCAGCAATAACAACAATATAACCAAACATAAAGAAAGAACGGGACTGCTATTGAAATAATACAAAAACACTAATGCCAGTACCACTCATAATACTAGTAGTCATGCTAACAAGCAATAACACTAATAATGACAATAATAGCAAGAATAACAGCAACAATAGTAATAACATGTAATAACATTACTAAATGCTCATGACAACAACGATAGCAGCGCAGGCCCTCCTTCGTCGGATGGTTGCCTCGGATGCCCTGGGAAGGGGAGAGGCGGCCCTCAAGGACTGCCTAGCCTTGAGATCTTCTGTATGGCTATACTCTAGTCGGGTTACTCTGTGATTTTCCAGGTTCTATATGATGTATTGTTCTCTACTGTATAGTATGGTTGTATATATATATATACATATATACATATACATGTATATATATATATACGCACACACATGCATGCATGCATGCATGCATGCATGCATGCGTACATACATAATACATACATACATCTTACATGTTATGCAGTGTGTTTTTATGATGCGATCTGTTTTGCTATCGTGCCTAGCACTTGTTCTGAGTCTTCCGGATCCAGCTGCTAGTTTCCAGCTGTCGTAGTGCAGGATGCCAAAGACATCCTGATCTTGGAGCCCAAGAACTCTCATGCAATGCAGGCGGTGCAAGCATGGCAGCATCAATGCAGGCAGTGAGAGCTGGAAAGGTGCAGGTGCACTCAGCAGGTCGAAAAGGTAGGTAACTCAGGTGGAAAGCCGGGCACTACTGTTGATGATATAAATCCTGCATTGCCTTAAGGGCCCTAAGATGTGGGAATTATGGTATATTCCTTATAATGGGTAATGCAGGATTTATATCATCAACCGTATGGTTATAGGCTATGCGTGGCATGTGCAGCTTGCTGCAGAACCCCTCTACGCACATCAGAACCCACCACTCTGCATCGACGTGTTTCTCTCGTGTATGGTATGGCCGGCACACGACACGAGAGCCGCCCGCAGGTTGTTGCTCGCAAGAGAAAGAGCCTCACAAAGAAGGCTGGCAGAACATGTTTAAACTCGTAGACATAAGCGGACGGGGAGCTGTAGCCGCGCTTTGGGGAGGCGAGCGACGCGCTTCCTTTGTCCACTGGGCAACCCGAAACCACTGTCGCAGTCTTCCTCTTCAGCGAGGTGGATTTGTGCTTTGCATTTCGTGCAGCAGTGCCGATGACAGCGGCTTCACACTGACTCCAGGATCGGCCGCTTCAGTGCTATGCCTGCCTGCGATCCTTGCAGAAGCACCTGCACGGAGCTGCACTGCACGCTCTGCTCCGAGACATGCGCGAAGCAGCCCAGCCAGCGCGAGAGCATGTGCCTGTTTCAGCGGGCCGGTCGGGTGAGGTGACGGTGTTTTGGCAAGCAGCCGAGCGCAGCTTGCCTAAAGCAGCGGCCACCACGGCACTTGACGATGCTTGACACATGTTGACATCTTGGGCCTGAAGAGGCGCATGCGTTCATTCGTACCAGCTGCTGGAAGCCCTCCCAGAGCAGGGGTCTCAGTTCATCCGGGCTTGCAGCATGTTGCCACCTGAAATTCGCTGAATTGCTCGCATCCAAGGCTCCGAAGCTTGCAGCATGGAGAGATTGTCAGACACATAGTGCCAAGACATTTACAATGTTTGCTCCTTGTTCCATGGTCTGTGCTTTCTGCGTTAAGGTTTACAGACAGGCTTTCATAGCTTCATGAACTGCTCTTGCTGAGGCCTGGCTGGAAGTGTCAAAGGGACAGCTCTACAGCAATTTCTCGAGAACTGCGACTTGGATTGCATCGCTTGACGAATGCGGAGGCGTAGGTCACCTAGTGTCTAGTGTGTGAGGCCGCTGCATCTGCCTGGCAAGGGTTCTGTCGTGACTGTCACTGTCTGTCGTTCGGTCTGATTCTCAGCGCAAGTTGGCCTTCGAAAGCAGCTGCAGGTAAGCCGTCTGTCGGCTGATGGGTCCAGTTCTCAGTTTCGGCATGCCGGTTGCGATGTTGCCGTGCTGGCCTTCGCTCCAGGATCCGACACCTGCTCATACTGTCGGATGCGGCCGTGTTCCACACCAGCACAGAAGCTCGGCAAAATTGTTGGGTGAACGTGATGCTGCACACATGCTCCATGTTTGGTGTCGGAGCTTTGCGTGACGACCTGGCTGGTGTGCTGTGAGCAAATGTCACGAGGATGTTGCGGCGGCTTCAGCCGTGGCCTCGAAGTTGCGCGAAAGTCAATCTTCTTACGCCTCCACCTTAGCCGCTCTAGCCCTTACACTTACCTTTCAGGCCTTGCTGAGCGAACGTTCCGAAACTTTTGCAGTGCGCTTGGACTTGCCTCGGCCTGAGATGCTTGATGATCATTGAGAGCTGGCGCAGCTTCCCGCTCTCATCCGTTCCGTGACATGATGCTACGACTGTGGGCGCAGTCAGTTTCCTCAAACCCAATTGTCCTGGTCATTCTGCTTGCACAATCTTCCCTGCCAGGAATCCTCGCATCGAGTACTTCTCGGAAGCAGAGCTGTATGCGTAATGCTCGGTCACGTGATTCGTGAAGCATGGCAACAAGGCAGGTGCAGGCCACAGGGTGTGACACATCGTTTTGTAAAGTGCCTGAGGCGTCTGCGCCCCGATCGAAGCCATTTGCGAACGATCCAAGACTGATGCGAGGTTCTCAGACGACTGACTCCTAGCCATGCGAGAGTGTCTCAGGAAGAAGCTGATGATGTTGACCAAGTTCTCAGCAGACACTGCATCCAAACCATGAGATCTGCAGAACCGATGAACATCCAAATCCTACAGGCCGAGAAGACGGCTTGAACAGAACACCGCAAATCCGAAACCGGAATCTCGAAAATCTAAGCCTTATACACCTTTAGCCGTGCAAGCCCGAATCCCTTCAAAGCCCTGTCACTGCTCAGGGTGTGGACTCGATGTTTTGATTCCTCGAAGATGGCCTACGAAGCAGCGGAAGCCTCAGCTTCGGAGGAAAACAGCC